TGCACAGCACATTTCTTCACACAAGCCAAAGCCAGGCCGCTTTACAATAGCCAGAACAGCTGACAATGTTTCTCGCATTTGTTGATATGCCAGGTAACCACTAACCCCAAAAAGCAGAAATGCTGTTATCATAAATCCAATTACGTACGCATCTTTTATATCCTCAACCGACAAAACTGACAGACACACGATCTTCCACTGCCCCCAGGAATCCATTGTGTATTCAGCTGTGAGCGTCCCGTCAGGGCAAGAGGGCTCTCCTTCGCCCTGTCTTCGCATTGAGAAAATGTTATTAGTTGTGTTGAGAGACCAGCTGACCAGATCCATGATGTACACTTCGGAAGAATTGTAAAGAGGCTCCGATAGGGTTCACAGGACAAAGATCACAACAGGAGGGAGGCAGGAGCGGAAGGGGAAGTGTCCACCTTCGTCGAGAGCAAGCAGGAACAAGCTGTTGTAGAGCTACATGTTGAGCTCAGATTTGGTGTGGTAGTAGCTGAGCATTATACAAAACACATTCTCTACGTGCAAACAGATCTCACAAGCTCTCACCATATTGCACGAGACTGTGCAAAGCGTCACTTACGAGGTTTGATGAAAATGACTCCGTCCTTCTCAGCATAAGATGGTTTTAGTTTAAATCTCTGACAAGAAACGCATTAAACAATATACATTCCTTCAAGGAATGGTAGGCCTGTAATTTTAACATGTAACATGCAAAGGTGCTTTTATTATATATATTTACTAAAACTTCAAAGCTACAAATTTAAAATCTTCTCCACGTGTGTTATGGTAATACAATAAATCGTCATTTTTCCCCCACTATTTGTTCACTTCAGTATCCATTTCCATGTCTCCTTATCAAACCCTCTTTGGGACGCTGCCTTCATGCATTAGAATGCAAGCGTGCATGAAAAGAGGGCCTGTTTACAAGGCAATTTCACAAAGCGATGGGACCCGCAACACCGTTTAGCTTTATCAAACATTGCCTAATAAATCATATGCTCTTTTGTGATGTCAGTTGCTGAGATGCTTTGTGTAAAGAGAGGTGGGGGGAAAAACAACTTCAGAAGGGAAAAGATGGGAGGCAAGGAAAGAGAGGGAGGGAGGAAGTAAAATAGGGGGAATTGAGAGTGGGTTAGTGAGGGAAAGCAAATGAAAAGTAGGGGGCAGGGAGCTGAAATTGGCATGTGTAATTCAGCACTCTTTTCATCTCAGAGTAAGATACTCTAGACAGATAAGAGGCCTAATCCTTCTCCTGATCAAAAAAAAATCTGCATTTTACCAATTAAAGGCTTGTGCCAGCAGTCGGGGGGTGGAGGGGTCTGCCTTTACGCTGCAGCTGCATTATCTCTCTTTAGCGTTGGGAGACGACTAACAGCAACAAGGTTGCACACAAGGAGTGCCGGCTTCCTGTCTAAGAACAGCACGACTCGTGATGGAATGAACTATGGAGGAGGAAAAAATGTGAGCAACAAGAAGAAAACCTATCAGTTGTAAAAGGATTAAAAAAAACTTTATTCAGAGCTTGTGAACCATTGTTTTTGTAGCATCACAGCAGGACTACAGGAAGTTTTGAAGTTCTAGTATGTAAAAAGTAGTATTTAACATTTGTTACCAGGGCTTAATTTGTAAGTCGGTCGATACCGGAATGCAAATGGCCGGTGTGAGGGATGGGGGCGGTGGGGTTTGGATGTCCTCGCCCAGAAATTTTTTAATAAAGTAGATATGATTTCCTGCATTTTGATGTATTTTAATGGATTGTTAAACATCTAGGGCAGCACGGTGGCGCAACTGGTAGAGCTGCTGCCTCTCAGCAAGCAGGTCCTTGGTTCAAACCCCGGTCCAGGGGCCTTTCTGGGTGGAGTTTGCATGTTCTCTCCGTGCATGCGTGGGTTTTCTCCAGGTGCTTCGGTTTCCTCCCACAGACCAAAAACATGCATGTTAGGCTGATTGGTAACTCTAAATTGTCCCTAGGTGTGAGTGAGAGAGTGAATGGTTGTTTGTCTCTATGTGGCCCTGTGATGGACTTGCGACCCATCCAGGGTGTACCCCGCCCCTCGCACAGTGATTGCTGGACATGGGCACCGGCGACCCCCGTGACCCAAAAATGGAATAAACGGGTAAAGATAATGGATGGATGGATGTTAAACATCTATGTTTAACCACATTTATAAACAAATGTCCATCTCTTTGTGGCCGCTGCCTGTGGGCTCCTACCCGGTTAGCTCGCTCAGCACTCACCCCCACAACTCTTTTGGGGCGGAAATATTTTTAAGGGTAGAGGCGGAAATGCTACTTGAAGGGGCAGCTTCTATGTGATATTAAGAAGCTCATAAGTGGCTGTTGTGTTTAAAATGAGTGTTTATGTAAATATTTTCAGTTTATATATCTAATGTGTTTTATTCGTTCAAGGCAGTCGTATTTGTTCATTACTTTATTATTACCGGTAGTAAGCTTGAGTGTTGCCGGATCCAAGCAAACAGTTACCAGAATGCAGCCTATCAAAATAAGAGCATTCCGGCTGTTTGTTGCTGTATTTTCACTAGTGCGGAATGAACAATAAAAAAGAGTTTTCTTTTAACCTCAGAACAAGCCATGTATATCTCCAGATAACAGAAGTCCATGTTGCAGTACCGTGTTTCCACACTTCACACATCCCTTTTTTTTTTTTGGCTAAAACTGTTCTACAAAAGAGTTTTTTTATGTTTTTCTTTATGCAAAGAACAGGGGAACTTCCACTTAGCAAGGAATCAGTGACAGATCAATAAGAAAATAATCCCAGATTGTTGAGCGAGGCCATTTTGGGGAATTATGGGAGTGTGGGGTTGGCCTCTCGGGCGACAAAACCAAAGAAAAGCCGACTTCAAGAGCGACATTAAAGAAGCCACCAGGCCTTATCTTTAAAAGTGTTCCCTCTGAGGGGAATGGGAGGAGGGGGAGAAAATGAAAGGGTAAATGAGAGAGGATCATAATCCAAAAAAAGAGGGGAGGGGGGTTGTTGGGGTTAAGGAATGCTGAGCGGAGAGGGAGATGGAGAGGTACACAGAAGAAATGTAAGAGATGAAATAAATACAGCAAACGAAAATTGACACCCGCCTCGCTTTTGCTGACTGGGTAGGCCCGATAAGTGAGCCAAATTGCGTAGATCTGATGTTTATCTTATCAGCGGCACCGTGAGCGCTTAAACGCAGACGATAAAGGAACGCCGAAGCGTGAACGCGTGTTCGAGTGTGTAAAAATACGAATCAGGAGCGCTACGGGAGCGCGTTTGATCAAGGTAGAAAGCGACGAGGGTGGTGTGAAGGCCTAATTCTCAAATTAGGCCAACCAAAAGGAAAACAGGAGGTTTGAAGTAACGCCATTACTTTCGATACTTTAAAAAGCAGCGGCTAAGGCTTTAAAAACCCTGACACTTTTGATTGTGAAGCCTTGTCTAAATAAACTTTTGAGCAACGTTTAGCGTTTACAAGCATTTAAATTAAGTTAAACTGAGTTTTTAAAATCTCATCCTTTTCTATTCATTCAAAAGGCTTTTCAAAGAAGGGACGCAACATTGTTTGATTATATGGAAATCCCACCACCACCACCCCTCCAAACCCTCCCAGAATGTGAAGAGATCCACTGTGGTCCAAATACTGTACTTATCCTATTACTGAGGGGGTGGGGGGGTGGCGAGATAAGAGCATTTTCCCGTCCGCTCTGCTGAATTAGAGGGCTGGGACTCTGTAGGCGAAGAGTGTCTGCACGTGCATAAAAAATAAGTAATAAAACGTCACATCAGAAAGTCAAATGCGGGAAAGGGTGGAAATGAAACATGAAAACTAATCATGTTTTTCTTTTTGTGAAAGTCCTGTTAAGTGCAGCTTGGAGGAACGAGTTTTCCTCTGACGGCTGCCTGGCTGCGACTATAATAGGTGAAGAAAGAGAGCATTATTTTTCGCTAATAAAAAGCCATCCCGACCTCCTCTCCTTCCACGTTTACTCATCCCACCTCGTGAAACCGGAGCAGGAAGTTGTCAGAATCCTCCACCTCTGAGCTGAGCCCTTCAAACATGGGAGGCAGCCCATTTCGTGCTGAGGATATCAATTATAGATAGGGGGTTACCACCGCAGCTGAGGATTGCAATGTCAAGATGGCTAACAGACAGCTGTGGAGAGCTTTAGGATCGTTCTATCAGATGTGTCCTGATGTGTTTTCACTGCACCTATTGGTGTAATTTCCTCCCATGTCCAACTTCAGTCTGGCTAGTTGAGGGATAAACGAGTTGCAAGCTAAGTTGGAGCAGCAAAGCTAAAAGCAGCTATAACTACACACTGACATGACCGTGACGTTAATATTTTTGCCTTAAAGTGCACCCCTCGGGCGCGGGACGTTGAGAAGCATCCATTTCCAAGCTTGTGTGAGAGTTCTGATAACAGACGGGGTACAGACGGGGTCCGGTTCAGCGCAGTACGCAAAGCTCCTGGAGGCTTAACCCACCAAATCAGTTAGTGCCGTCCAGCTGTGAGATGTTCACTCCAGCTTTTTGAGCCCATTACCACCGTCCCTAGATCCAATCAGGAATCTAGCTTGACTAACAGTCAGCGCTCGAGGCTGCCAGGCACAGAAGTCCTGGTCGGACAGGAGGTTCTGTCCAGAAAGGCAGCTTCTGTTAATGTTGAAGGGATCTAAGGGGGGCTAGAGGGAAGAAAAACACCAAATCCCCTTAAAGCGCATAATTGTGTTTTCTGAGCTGCACTTCAGAGCTGTAAACAACCTGTTGTGGCGGTTTTAAGGCGAGTCCTAAAGGCAAAGACGAACACTTCTCTGACCTCAGAATCTGATTAAAATTCAAACACGTTTGGTAAAAAGCTCTGACAGACTGCAATGGTCCAGAGAAAAATCAAACTTTCATGTCATTTTTTTTTTTTTTTTCCTTTTAGAAAGTGATAAAACAGTACATAATTACCATATTTTTCATCATATAAGTCGCACCTTTGTTCTGCTGGATACTCACTTGTACCAGCTGCTCCTGGGTGTCGAACTCACGGCAGCAGTTCTCCCAGTGGCAGTTTGTCTCGTAAACCACCTCTGGCTCCTGTTTGCTCTCATCCTTGTCCCCTTCCTCCTTCACCAATGTCATCCCATCAGGATGGTCCTAAGAAACCACCACAAAAAAATAAAGTTTAATGAAACAACACATCTAAAATGTTAAGGAGTAAGAGCTAAATCACTTTAAACAGACTTGGGCAACTTAAGGCCCGAGGGCCAAAAGTGGCCCTTGGACAAGCTCCATCAGGTGCCCAATGTCATTAGTTCAAAACAATAAAAAAAAAAAAACATTTATAAAAAAACCAACAATTTATCAACAAGACTTAAGGACAATTAAATTAAACATCTTATGCCAAACTAAAAAAAAAACATTTTTATGTGTTTCCAGAACTAGACTGAACCTTAAAGACTTAGAAACACAAATACATAAGTTTGTTTTGCATATTTCCGCTAACATGTATAACATGTTAATACCGTGTATTGTCACATATTCCTGTATTATATTCCTCAAGGATATTGGAAATATGTTTTTTTATAAAGCACCTTAAATATGCTACAACAAGCAAAAGCCTGGAAAAGGAAGATTATCTGTCATACAGACAATTTTCCACTTCTCTATGCAGCCCTTTGACTGCTTTAAACATCTTGATATGGCCCTTTGGAACAAAAAAAGTGTTGCCCACCTCTGACTTAAAATCAGACTAAAATGTGAGGGAAGAAGGAAGTGCTTCACCTCCCCAGGTATAAAATGTATAAAAGGTGTTTTGCCAATAAAAAGCACAGCAGAAAGTTATTATTTGCAGGTTATTACCACAGTTGCCATGTGAATATGGGCTTGTCTGGCTACGAGGGGGAAAAGGCAGAGCGGAAATGTAGTGAAAGCCCCTCTGTGTCTGGTGGGGCGGTTGTTATACGACAGGACTGGGCCGACTGTTTGAAGACTGTAACCCCCTCTTCCTGCTGTAGGTTACTGTATTAGCCCAGACATATTTCACTGTCACATGTTTTAGGTAGAGCATGGAGTTGGCGTGGGCTCCTGCAGGGGGGCTTCCACCACACACCTCTGCTGATAGTTTAACAGGGATTTTTTTTTGTTTGTTTGTTTCTGCTTACTGCGTTTCTTTTTCTTTCGCTTTGTTCCAGCCACTTAAAAATTTCGATTAAACAAAATCAAAATCAATTTCCTTCTAGTTTCCCCCCAAAATCAATGGTTGAATGGCTTTGGAAACTAAAAGTGATGAAAGTTGGGAACAAACAGATGAAGAAACGGCCAAATGCAAGAAAACACACACTGCCTGCAGCTGCTGGGCCTATAGGTGACCCACCTGTACGCTCACCACTCCTGGGCTCGGCAGCTCTTCCTCGGGTTTCATTTTGGACCGCTTGTGATGCATCGGGTCGCCCGTGCTGCTTACAGCCGATTCACTCGTGGGCTTGGCCTGTAGAAACAATAAAAATATTAAAGCATTAACAAGCTGATTATCATATATTATATCATGTTGGTTATATAGATAGTTTTATCCTTTATTATGGCTTCATTAAAAATGCATGTAATCCTGATAAGCATGCTCATTATTTACTTAATCAACAAGACAAAACTACTGGGACTGGTTTATAATGATTTCTGCAACCAGCGTCTCGAACTTTAACCGAGCTAATGAAAACCTATGCAAGTCAGCGTATCACATTAGCTACTCTAATCATTGCAATTAAAACAACCTCATGAACCAATTCAACCGACAGATGACCTGACTCTGGCCCTGGCTTAAAGATACCCTAGGGGGAATTCTTGTATAACAGGCTTTGTTCAAGTGGAAGAAATGAAGAGAACTTTTAGACGTCCGGAAAAGAAGATGTCCACAAGTCAAACACGTCTTTGATATTTATTTCTGGTGTAAAGCAATGTTCTGTTTGTTGTGGGGAATTTGAACGAGGCTTCATCTTTGATATTGAATGGACAACAACAGGGAGGATGCGTAATAAACACTGGGTATTTACTTCAAATGTGGGCCCGCACATAGTGAATGGGTTGAGGAAAGAAAGAGAAAAATCCCCCTTAGATCCATCCATCCATGTCAATATTCCCTCACTAGATCCTTGTTCTCTCTCCAGTGATTAATGGATTCAGCGGTGGGATTCTATGCTAACAAGCCCCTTGTTGTTTGCTGCAGGCACGTTCGGAGCTGCGCTCGGCTGGCTAAAAAACAAGAAACAACACAAGCAGAAGGAAGCTCCCAGGAGAGGAGTGTGCAGAGACAAGGGGTCCTGCCTGTGCCACGTTAGCTCAGCGCATGTTGCTCGCGCGTGGCTCGCATGCGCCGCTGCTGTCTATTACGTGTGATGATGAATCGCCGAGATGCGGGCCGCCGCTCTCACCTGTGACGAGTCGTTGGAGATGGCCGAGCGCTCGCTGACGCTCAGCCCGGATGAGGGGATTCCAGGCATGGGTCGCTGAGTGACGAAAGCCGGTGTCGGTTGGACTAGGGGTGGACTGTGACCGAAGGCAGAGCCCATGATGCCCGGCTGACGTCCCATCAGCTGCTGGTGCACGTGCAAAGCCACTGGAGTTGGAGGGTAGGCGAAGCTCAACGCCGGGCTGGAGAGAGCAGCACAATCGCTCAGCAAAACTAAAACACTTCTTTGCTTAAACATGAATCCAGAGGCAACGAGGCAGGAAAAAGGGGAACTTTAGTGCATAAATGGATTGTTCTGGATAACTCCCTCGTTCCTGAGGGCAATCTGACAGGAGGTGGTGTGGTAATGCTGGAACCAGTGGGGCTGCTGGCAAATAAAGCTTGTTAACACAGCGAATTATCAAGTAGTCTGTGTAAGACAGTGTGTCATCCCTCCACTGGGCAAATGATACAGATAATAAATAACCCCTAATCTATATTACAGCCAAGTAAATAAAACTGTAGAGTTGTTTTTGGTTTAAGTCTGCAGCAGCTTTGTTGATCATAAAAACCTTCTAAGTCTACTCTGTTGAACGACCGTACAAACACAGAAACAGCCATGGCCTCCATTCATTCTGCACTCTGACAATGTGCTCTTCCCGCGACCCATATGTCTGCTGATCTTATTATGAGCCGAGTGGAAATCAATGGCCCGAGACACATTTGGGGGCCCATCTGCTTGTCATATCACTCATCAGTCTGTTGGCGCTGGCTATTTGGGTCCTGTCAGTTGAACAGTGGCAGAATGTGCAGCGTGATTGATCAGGCTCTTCTTACAGATCGCTGATCAATGACTGTGGGTGGGGCGATGGATCTTTCCTTTCCCTTTTTTTTTTTACCCCGTTTCTACTCTTTTCGTTCGCTTCAGTTTGGCTGGCTCTGGCACCAGGACATGATGTATGGGATGTTTTTATGACGTGCACTGGATGAGTGACACAAGCCGCCAGGGAGGCATGCTGACTGCCTGGTCGGGAAGATTGTCACCCACACGGGGGTTAGACACACACACTTATTGGTGCCACACACTTTCTTTATGTTATGGTGCCATCCTGAAGGGGAAAAAACTGCACATTTTACTGTATTGTGTGTGAAACATACAAATCACTTGTATTAAATGTTTTCAGCTAATCAAGTTACTCCTGAATTACCTCCTTTAAGCTCATAGAAAAATTTCTGGAATCAGTTTTAAAGTTTTAATTTCCATAATGGCTCTTCAGTATTTCGTCTTTAACTTTGTCGTTTGCTTTTAAAAAAAAAAAAATTTAAAGGTCATAAATGAAGCTGCTGAGTAACTGAGATATAATATTCATTAATCCCAAAATACTTGTCCTGTTAGTGCCGTGATGCAGCTTAATTGTAGATTTTATTTTTGTGTGAATGTTTATGAACACTACTGTGATCCATTTTTCTTTCGTACATTTTTCAGCGTCTTTCTCGTCTTGCAGTTTTCAAGCTACTTCAACAAATCATATCAAAACATTCAGCTCTTTCAGGACAATCCTGCTATGACTTTTGGTATTGGTGCAACTTTAGCTTTTTGAAATATTTAGCCTTTTCTGACACATTTTTTTCTCATAGAAAATGAACTGAGCTCATTTTACATTTGTCATATGCTCACATGCTCATTTTAGATTCTTTCTGCTAATTTCAGTTTGTTATGCTCCTTTCAGCTTATTTCTGCTAGTTTCAACTTTTCTACTATTTCAGCTACTATATAGCTGTTTTATGCTAATTTAAGCTTTTTCAACTCATTCCACATTTTTGCACTCATTTAAACTTTTTCAGCCTAATTCAGCAAAAATGTGCTCTTTCCACTTTCTTCAGGTAACTTAAACTTCTTTCTGCTTTTTTAGCTACTTTTCAGCTGTTTTTTTTTTCTTCAGATGATTTCCATTTTTTTGTGATCATTTTTGCTTCTTTCAGCAAACATGTTCTTTTGGCTTTCTTCTGCTAATTTAAGCTTGTTCTACCTTTTTAGCTAGTTTTTAAGCATTTTTAGCTAATTTAAACTGTTTTAAAAAAAATTCAAGTTTTGTGGTCATTTCTGCTATTTTCAGTCTATTTATCTTCTTTCTGCAAATTTCAGCTTATTATGCTCCTTGCAGCTTTTTTTTTTTTTTTTGCTAGTTTCAGCTGGTTCTGATTTTTTTAGCTACTTTTTAGCTTTTGTGCTAAATTTAGTTTTTTCTGCTAATTCCACATTTTTTAGTTAATTTCAGCTCCTTCCACTTCCTTTTGTGCCTTTTCAGCAACTTTTCAGCTTTTTTTCCACTAATTTCAGCCTTTTTTTTTTAGCTAATTTCTTAATTTCTGTACTAATTTCTGCTTATTTAAACCCAATTCAGCAAATTTGTGTTCTTTCTCTTTTCTTCTGATAATTTAGGCTTGTTCTTCCATTTCAGCATGTTTTTAATTTCAGCTGATTTTCAGCAAGTTCTTCAACAAGAAGCATTCACACTGAATTTTTGCAGGAAATGCAAGTTCTCTAATTAGATATTTGTTTTGAATTAAGGTTCCAGCAGTGACACAAAATGAAACGAATCAATGGATGTAACCGCAATGACATATCCAGTTGTTTTCCAAAGTACTGCACTCAAAATAACCAAGGAACATAAACTGACAAGTAGAAATATGTTTTAACAGAACAAATATATAAACATTAGGTTTATTATATGTGTTCTTGTTTGTTGGTTGAAAATCAGACACCAAAAAGTGTAACTTGCTGAATTAAAAAAAAACGTTTTGCAAGTTTTCAACACAATCGTATTCATGCATATACAAATTTATGCCTTTTTATCTTTTGTCGGGATTAGTAATATCAGCCATTGGTCTGTGAAATAAGATTTCATTCACTCAGTACATCTGATAAACAGTAAAATACTTAATATTAAAATAGGGGTCATGTTTAACTTATGTAGTAGTGAGTGAGTTCAAATAAAACGGACAATACCTACGACTCATCCGGTTACAATAAATTACTCAGATGGAGTAAAAATGTTGAAACAGCCATTAAAGACAGAGCCGAAGTACATCAGATTAAATTAATTACTAAATATAAATGCTTCATATTAAGATAAAACCTTAAAATTGTTTGATTTTCTCCCTACCTTTTACATTAGTTCCTTTATTGAAGTTTACTTTAATATATTCAGTTCATTGTTTTGTTGTCACTTCCTTTGGGCTAGGAAATGGACATAAAAGTATTTAATAATTTGGGGAGTTATAGCCTAGTGGCCATTAGTGGTATTACATACATCAGGGATTCAACACTGGCTTTAAATTGGAAAGTGAGCGATCTTTTTTTCAATAGGTTACCTGATTGCTCTAGCGGAGAGGTGACCATAGGAGCCGCTGGTGGAGGAGCTGGAGCGGGAGTTGTTGATCAGCTGGTTGACAATGGCGGTGGGTGAGTTACGGATCATGTTCTGCAGGTCGAGGCTGTGATCAGAGAGGGGCGAGATGGGCAGGGGCCGTTTCCTGCTGGGCCGTACTGGGAGCCTTGGACTTGAGAACCGGGAACCTACGAGATTATAAGCAAAGATCAGAATAAGACTATGAAGTAGACATTGTCGTGGTAAGCATGAAAAATTAAAATGATGTGAAACAGCTGTAAATTCTTATAATGTTCTCTTGTATGGTGTTTCTTGACACAACAGAATCGGTTAAATTCTCAAAGACGATCAAGAAAAATGAGTGTTTGCTTGTTTTTTCCACATCATTTTCTATTTGACTTCATCCAAACTGTAACCTAATCAAACGCTAACAGATGACACTTTTGTCAATCATCAGACAAAAGGCTCGTCTCAGTGAGTGTTCAGCTGTCACTTGATGCACTGCTTGCATTTCATCTGGGAGAAAACATGCCTTTTATGTTGGAGAAATGCTCTGACTGTGTATGGTAATATTTAATCAAGTCCAATTTGACTCGTTATTCAAATGCAGTCAGTGTTGACTGGAAATACCGAAAGGGGGGTTTGAAAAGGTAAAAGGCGGAAACAGCGCAAGCATTCTCTCTGCATGTACAATGAGCCACGGGTAGAGATTAAAACATGACTTTTGTTGTCTTTTCACATAGAGATGTCACAAACAAGAGAGAAAAACAGGGGGAAGATGGAGGGGAGCGCTGAGGGGATGTCGGGCTTTGTGCGTGAACTGACACAATGACTTTGTGACTCAAGACTTGGAAATAAAACATTTTGAGTTATTTCATAAAGGCAAACAAAACCAGTTTGCGCAGCCTCGATAACCCCCCCCCCCCCCATATTTACGTCCCCCTCAATCCATCCGTCTCCTAAAACGTAAATGCTCTATCTCTCGTTTGACACATTCAGCGATTACAGAGTGCTCCATTCACATGGTAATCAGAGTGTGTGTGCATGTGAGTGTGTGTGCGTGGATGCTGCTGCGGTGGTGTTCTGGCATACGAAGGCCCGACTTTCATCTGCAGCATGAAGCTGTATGGAGAGCAGCACTTTCTTTACATCGTCATTGTATAGAAAGGATTGTGCTTTTTCATCTGCATGTAAGGTGGCACATGCAAACAATCTCTGGGCACACACAAATGTTATTATACAATGTTGTTTATCACTTTGCATGTCTGTTTGCACCTATTTATTAATGGTATATAACGTAAAATCCTTCTGCACAATTCTTTCAATTTGGGCTAATGCAACCAGTTTGCCCCAGTTTCCCAACACTTGTGGACAGTATAGATCAGGGCTGTTCATCTAAATTGTTCAGGGGGGCACAGTTACTGAAAGCCACAAGCTCAAGGGCCGGATATCCATCAGTTATTGTCATTAAATAAGTTTGTTTTACGGTTTAAAATCTAGCTTTATTTAAAAATGAACCCACTGGAGGGCTGAACTGAGCTCACCCATGGGCCTGATTTTGCCCATGGGCCACCAGTTGAATAGCTCTGGTATGGACCTTTTAAAGTAAAGATCTGAACATTTATTATCTTACTTGCTGTAGAAAGTTTTTTAAATGATCTTCATTTAGAAAAATAGAGTTTAATTTTTAGCTAATTGATGAGCTAATTGCTAATTGTATTGGGGCCAAGACCAAAGTGGATTAATGGCATTTTAAAACAACCCCAGTTTCATAAATGTTCAGCAGTTTCTGCAAGCACTGTTTTATACATGTTTATGCTGTTGTCAGTTTCATTACATGGTTAATTCAGGCAAAAAATTCTTAAAAGAAAAGCCCCGGGCTCCTCTGAAAGTGCTACAGTTAGCTGCCACTATTGTTTTATATGCTTGAAAATAACTATAACATTCAAAGTAAATACTTGTGTAATGCAAAACTGGTAAGACGTTTACAATATAGCATTTGCTGGAACCTCTAAAGAATTTTTGAATTTAGAGATTAGCCATTGGCTCATTATTATTTTTATTATTTCTCCAAACCAATGTTCAAATCTACAACAGGTAAGATGACTACTATTCATAACTTTCCACAGAACTCCACTTTAAAAAATCTGAACTATCACCTTAAACAAGCTGCATCTCAGTAAATGTGAGGTGCAGCAGCCGCTTGTGAAAAATTGGGAAAGGCGGGCTAGTGTGGGAGAAGGGAATTGTGCCATTGCTGCAAAGCCTCATGGGACTGGTGTTTATTAATGCACAGCCCAAATGATAAATCGGCCAACCGGGGAGACAGAGAGAGAAGCGTCCTGGCTCGTAGCAGTACTGTCCCTCTAATTTCCTCTTGATTTATGGACGGGATGGCTGGTTACGCGCCGCGTCATTAATTTTGAGAGCCGGGGAGGGTTCAGATGGACCAGAATGACGAGGTGGAAATAAAAGTTGGTTCCAAAACCGGGGTTGAGCCTTTACCATTACATCAAGGAAAGGCGGGTAGAGTTGTTTCGAGCGAAACACACAAGAAAGCACAATTTGTAGTTTTGAGGAAAGTACAACTAGACCCTGGAGAAGCAAAAACAGTACAAAAAAAACTACCATTCTTGTTCTAGCTAAAGGGTATTATTTTCTTTTATGAGAAAAAAATGTACCAAATGGAAAAATTGTTTGTTTAAAAAATTAATAGATGCCATTTAGCGTGCACATATGGTATATGAATATTTAATGCAGTGTTTACTAAACAATTTAATGTAATTATAAACAGCTAAAGTACGAGGACCTTTAATGTTCAAAAATGTACTGCATTTTTCAAAACAAACAAAAAAAATCTACGACATCCCATACAGCTAAATAGTATGCGTTAATAAACACCTAAATTTGCTTACAGCTACAAATAAATAGCAGTTTTAAAATGTGCATAAGGTTTAAATTAGATTAGGTGCAAGAAAATAAACAATAGCTGCATTTAGTGAGCTTTAAAAAGCAGTATTGCTTAAAAGTGCTTAAATGTTAAAATCAAGCCTGTTTAGAAGAAAAATTATTTCCTATTAGCAGGAAAACAGCACAGAGATTCGCTAATGGAGGCCACAAGTAAACAGTTGAGTGTGTAGACTTCAGTCGTCGTGATCTTTGAGAGCTACGGTGCTAATTAAGGCAGTACTAACGGAGACAATAGACCATTAAAGCACAAATAGGCAGGACGGGCCCATTGTTCCATTAGCACAACTCTCTCTGAAGGTAATTACGCTAATTTGGAATAGACTAAAATAGCTTCATGGTAGCCCAGATTATCAGTGATAGACTTTGCTCTTTATGTCTTTCTTTTCTTTCTAATATTCACCAAAGCTTTAAAGTGTTAATTTTTTGCGTCTGGCGAGCACACATTGCCGAAACATGATGAGTTATTACTGGCAATGATCACAGACGATTTTTCGACGAGGACGTGCGGCATCTCTCCACTGAAATTTGGCCCTAATTGTTTTGTTTCAGTCTATTAATCTTAAAAAGTGACACAGAAGAAAGGATTTCTCCAGTGATGAATGGTGGGACATTCCAATTCCCACTTAATAGCAATTAATTTTCTGATACCCGCACAAGTTTGGCTAGTTTTAATTAGTTTGTGCTGAAGAACAGGGGGGAAGTTCACCCCGGATTTCCATGAAAGCAGTGTCTGTCTGACTAAATACACTCTCATCAAAGGGAGAGGGGTGAGGCTGTCTGACCTTTCTAAGATTCGGTGTGCATTTAATTTCCTATTTACACTTTAAAATAACTCATTAGCATAAGTCCTTTGCACACAGTCCTGAGCTCAACACATTAAGACAATGGCTCATTTAAATCGTGTCAAAGTAAAGTTGTGGAAGCATCCTCACCATGGTTAAGGTGCAGCTTGATCTATATTTAGGTGCATTGTGAAGGTGCACTTTAAGGGTTGAATTCCCGCTGGGACCACCCACACATTATTGTGCGGGTGTGCACTTCTAAGCTTTAAAGGTGCAGTCCCAGCAGGATTGGATGCGGTGGGTGTCTTTTGTCCCACAGGGCTGCTTAAAAAGTCCAGTTTATCTTGACGTAAAACTCTTCATTAAGCATAATGTCTAATAATGGCACCATTTCTTCATGCAGTTAGGACCAAGCTCAAAACGGCATCTAGTCGCTGCATGTAAGATCCTCATACATTTATAAAAACAAGTCCCTTCCAGTCGTTTTTCCTCCTGGATTTAAGAAAATGTTGATTTGCAAATGCCACACAGACAGGATGAATATGACACTTAATATTCACTTAAACACTGTATGTCTTTCTTTAAAAGTAGAGAAATAAAACTTGTTTGAGGTTGTTCTATTGTAAAATATAAGATAACACGTTTGTTTTTTATGAAAACAGTTCTGTCTTGTCCTTATCCGGATCATACTAGCTCCCTCACAGATACAACCTGCACATCTTTCGGGGCTTAAACTGGTCCGCGATGTTGGCGGGTGTCTTTATTATCACAAACATAATGAGAAAAAAGTGTGATAAATTTTCTCAAGTGGCTGCAACAGTTGGCAACTAGTTGGTGAATGACATTCGCAAGGAAGTCTCCAAAATGTATCCCAACGTTTGAGTGGTTCCCTATTTCCAAACAGGGTTAAAAGCTAAACGAGGCACACCTGGCAATTCCTTTTTGCAAACTATGTACACAAAATTAAGATGCAATTGTCCAAAATTGGCCTCTCCAACTACAGCCACATGGCTTGCAGGCCCCAGTGAGTCCCTTTTGCACCACGACATCTGCTGGTGGGGACTTTAGAGGTACCAGGGAAGCAGCAAAGGGGCAAAGGGAGTCCAGTTCAGTGACCTCAGGAGTCAATCTACTCTTTGCGGATGATGTGATCCTGTTGGCGTCATCGTGCCGTGAACTTCAACTCCCACTTGAGCTGTTTGTAGCCGATTGTGAAGTGGCTGGGATGAGAATCAGCACCTCCAAATATGACGCCATGGTCCTCAACTGGAAAAGGGTGGATTGCTCTCTTCAGGTTGAGGGTGAGATTCTGCCTGAAGTGGAAGAGTTCAAACATCTTGGGGTTTTGTTCATGAGCGAGGGATGAATTGAGCATGAAATTGGCAGACAGATTGGTGCAGCGTCTGCAGTATTGCGGACTCTGTACCGGTCCGTTGTAGTGAAGAGGGAGCTGTGCTGTAAGATAAAGCTCTCTGTTTACCGGTCAGTCTACATTCCTACCCTCACCTATGGTCACGAACTTTGGGTAGTGACTGAAAGAATGAGATCACAGATACAGGCAGTTCAAATGAGTTTCCTCCGCAGGGTAGCTGGACTCTCCCTTAGAGACAGGTTGAGAAATTCAGTTATCCGGGAGAGACTCGGAGTAGAACCGCTGCTCCTCCACATCGAGAGGAGCCAGTTGAGGTGTGTCAGGCATCTGGTAAGGATGACCCCTGGGCACTTCCCTGGGAAGGTGCTTCGGGCATGTCCGACTGGGAGGAAACCCCAGGTAAGACCCAGGACACGCTGGAGAGACTACGACTCTTAGTCGGTCTGGGAGCATCTTGGAGTCCTCCCAGAAGAGCTGGAGGAGGTGGCTGGGCCTCCCTGATCAAGCTGCTACCCCCGCGACCTGACTTCAGAATAAAAGGAAGATAATGGATGGATGGATGGAAGTTCTAAGAGCAAGTATACAGATCTTTTATAAATGAATATATGTATTTTAAGAACTTAAATTCTGTCTAAATAAATGTATTGTTAAGGCTGAATGAGGTTTGGACTCAATCCCAAATACATAGAAGCAGGCGGACTAATACAAACTAACCGCACTGTTGTTTGGGTGTAACTAGTGATCATGTGAGGTCAGAGTAAACTTACTTTCCATTGCCTGCAGATACTCCATGTGCAGGGCACTGGCGCTGCTGGCCCCGGCCGCAGTTGCCACAGACGGGAGAAGGTCGGTCGTGTACGGGCTGCGGTGGCTCGCCAGCAGAGCCATCGGATGGTAGTACTCTGCTGTCAGACTCGTGTGAGGCGCTGGAGCGGGAGAAAAAGTCAGGTCAGCACAAGCGCGATCGCCGACCGATGGGCAAATTTAAAGAACGTTGGGCAGAGAGAGAGAGAAGGAAACGAGTGAGAAAATGTATTAGGCATTAAGACAAACATGACAGGGGGAACACCTGCGCTGCGTTAGAAAACTTGCACTCATTTACTTCGGATGATAATCAGCTCAGCAGAACAGTAATGAGCACATTAGCAATACCATCAAGTTAACCACAACAGCTGCACAGGGAGCATCACCTGAAGTGGAGAGCCTCACTAGGGGATTATGGGATGCTTGCTGAGAGATTACAGTGAGTGTGCATTAGTGTTTGAATGATGCATTCGTGCAGAGAGCAGCAAAACTGATCATCTTGCAATACAATCCCTAAATAGCTTTTTTTCCCTCTCTATCTCGATTTCCTTTGATCACCAGTGTTTAAATACTGAGGGTGTGTGTGTGGTAAGAGTATGTGGGCTAATGTGTCTTTTGGCAAAAGGCGTTGCCTGCGTGTTGCACGCATCAGGGCTGCAGCCTGCAGATATGCAACCTGCTCCTCAACTCTCCTCTACAGGGAAACAAAAGGCCTAAATCTTCCCAGATAGATCTGCTCGCATTAAAAGATACAGTGAACGATTCTGCCTCCACTTCTCTTTTTTCCCCCTCAGTGCATCTCTTTTTCAAGTCATTCCCTTAGTTATGGAGCACGGTAAGTCCTTGAACCGCGGCCTAAAAATAATCATCTGGAAGGGGGCTTCCATATGCAAATATTGTAAGAAAAGAGAGACTAACACTGTGGTTTTGGATGCAAATACGGAATCGGTTTAGACAACTGGAGCTCCTTTCCCCCCCAATTTGAGAAATAAAGAGAAAATAAATAAAGAAACACTGTGTGAGGAGATTTCCTCTTAAGTCTGGCCCGTATGGCTGCAGTATGCATCAGTGATTGGAGGAATAAAACGGGAGGAAAAAAAACTAAATTAATTCGATTTGGCTTTTACATTTTCAGTGGAAAGGGGGGGAGTGTCTTAATTGTCACCAGCGTTCCGCCTTAGCTTTGCTTTTGCATTCAGCCATAATGTGTCCCATTCAGTTTCCATGGACGGAAAAGAGCTTTGCAAAATTTCTAAATCAGAAATGTTGGCACCGGAGTGTGATCCTGGGGGCAAAAAATTTACAAAAATGAGCAAGTGGGGGAAAGGCTGTCAGTGTGGCGGTAGTGCCTCAGGATCCGATGAGCCACCAGGTCCTCCTTGGGCACGACAATAGGATCAGGGGCAGGCTCATACCTCTGAATCAGCTGTTAAGAAAAAAGGGAATATAAAGAAATAACAAAAAAAGGGTGAAAGCAAATGTGTGGCAGCAGGAGGGTGGCACTAAATCCCACCCACTTTAAACCTCCATTAGATTCTGTTAATTAATTCATCATTATTCAAATGTACTTTTTGCTAGAGAATTAAAAAAAAAATCTTTGCATACTGAAGGAGACTCCCTGTAAGCGCAGTGATATACTAACAACACAAAAGCTGATGGGTTAATTAATCTCCGAATTGATTAAAGGAGTAATTAGGTGCCTCATTCACAATTCACAGCATTATGAATTAAAAGAGGGATCATGTGGTAGGTTGGGGGAACTATTTTGATTTAAAGCAATCCGAGCCTGGCACGCATTATGTTATGGTAATGAAAACCTGGAGGGCAGAGAGTCGGCGCTCGATCGTGCACCTCCAGTTTGCAAAGAGCCGCGGTGAAGTGCAGGAGAGGGCAGAGCGAAGCTGCAAGCCCACACTTCCAGTCTTCACTCAGCGGTTAACAGAACTGGGTGAGAGGAAGCCAAGTGGGTCGATTCAGGGGAAATAACCCTGCTACCTGTCATTTCACAAAATACATTCCAACATCAGACGGAGAGCTAAAGAGGGCGTCTAAGACCGAGGAGACAAAAGGTTGATGGCTGAGGATTTAGTGGGGGCGTGAAAGGTTGTTGGGCCATTTCAATAAAAGCTTAACGCAGAAACAGGATCTTCGTGACAAGATAGGATCAAAAACAACCCAAAACAGGCCTGTTTTGATATAAAAGTATTGTTAGAAAAATGTCCAAGTGTTCATGACTGCATTCTGTACAACAATTCTAAATTTGGGAATTATTAGATTTTTTTATTTTTATTAAAATGATAAAGCAGGAAGATGAAAAAATGAATTAAATTTGCAAAAACATCTGCTAAATTTCTGATTCAAGAGGACGAAATGAGTGACGCTTTTAAGTTAAAGTTGGTAATTCACGACATGCTTCTAGGTTCGGGATGCTCTTTTTTTATGTAATGATTGTAAAAATGTAGTAACAAGCTTTTAAACATGTAAATTCAGTTCAGTTTATTTATATATAGCGCCAAATCACAACAGAAGTCGTCTCAGGGCACTAAACAGAAACATTCACATACTGGTACATAAAAATCAGTTAATAATGTTATTTTGAGCCAACAGATTTGAGTTTTCACTTAATCATTAGATTCATAAATCTAATTCAATTAAAAAAAAAAAAAATTTATGAATATGGTATGTCATCTTTATGTCTATTTACATTACAAATACAAGGAAACTTGTTGATTTTACCTCTTAAAATGCTAAAAAAAAAAAAAAAAAGATTATAAATAAAGAAAAATCTATGTTCAGT